ATGAAATAATTTCCTCAAAATCTACAGCTAGTTAATGGCTTGGCCAGTTCTCTATCCTGAGACACCCTCCCCCCCCACTCCCAAGCCCCCACTCTGCTCTGTTCCAAGCTATTTCTGGGTAAGTAAGAGGTACCTCTGTTTCTGTAGTATTTTATAGTCTTTCTAAAGGTTTTCCTATACTTTCAGTATTCAATCTCACAACATCCCTCTAAAATAAGCAAGTACAAAGAAAAACAGACTCAAAAAAGACAAGTGATCTGTCTGAAGTCATACAGTAAATTAGCTGCAACAGAGCCAGGATGAGAGCTAGTTCTGGTCTTTTCCATGGAAGTTGGGCTTTATGACTTTACCAAACCCTAGCAGTTGCTACTGGAAAACTAGATGGTTTGCCACAAACCCGTCTGATAAATAATCTCATTCAATGTCATAGTGGAAGTTCTAGCAAATGCAATAAGGTATAAAAAAAAAAAAAAAAAAAAAAAAACAAAAAAACAAATTAATTTGGGAAGAAAAAAAAAAAAAAAAAAAAAAAAAAAAAAAAAAAAAAAAAAAAAAAAAAAAAAAAAACCTAAAAGCCATATAGATTGGGAAGAAGAAATAAAATTGTCCCTATTTACAGACAACATGATTTCTTTTTTAAAAAAATTTTGTCCAAGGATATGTGTTCACCAGAGAGAGACACACAGAGAAAGAGAAAGAGAGAGAAGAAAAGTGAGAAAGCACCCCCACCATGGTGAAAGGTCACATGCAATCCTGTCTTCTCCATTTTTCCCCCTTCCAGGATTTTGGGCACACACATACACATTCCTGTCATGCTTCTCAAGTCTCAAACTGCACATCCGGCCATGTGTGATCCAGTCACCTTAACCATCACGCCATGGGCTGGCCCCAACATGATTTCTTATGTAGTAAATCTCAAACTATCTATGAAAAACAAATAAACCACATTCCAGAACTAAAAAGTGAGTTTAGCTAGGTCACAGTATATAAGGTCTATAAACAAAATTTATTGTATTTCTACATTCTAGCAATAAAAAATTAACAATTTAAATTTAAAAATAGCAACAACAACAAAAATAATCTACAAAAGCACTTAAAAACTTGAAATAGTTAGGTTTAATTATAACAAAAGATTCAAGGGCCCAGCAGATGGCATGGTGCTTAAGGCTCTGGATAATCCCACATGGCCAACCAAGGTTCGAGTCCCAGACTGCTGGCTTGCTTTCCCACCTTCTCTCTCTCTCTCTGTGTGTCTCTGGTCAAATTAAAATAAATTCAAGTCCCAGATCTGCTGGCTTGCTTTCTCACTTTCTCTCTCTCTCTCTTTCTCTCTCTCTCTCTCTCTCTCCGTGTGTGTGTGTGTGTGCATGTGTGTGTCTGGTCAAATTAAAATAAACGAATGAATAAAAATAAAATTAAGTAAATAATTCTTTTTAAAAAAAGATACATAAAATCTATGCTGCAAACTATAAAACTGTGAATAAAACACAAGTAAATGGATTCCCATGTTATGTTTATGAATTCAAAGAGTCACTATTATTAAAATGACAGCTTTTCCCAAATTGATCTACAGATTTAAATTGATCCCATCAAAATCCTAAGAGGGTTTTTAATAAGAAATGACAAGCTGAGTCTGAAATTTGAGCGGAAAATTGAAGGAACTAGAATAGTTAGCACAATTTTGAAAAAGAACAAGGTTGGAAGACTTACACTGCCTTATCTTAAGGCTGTTATGGACTG